CCTCCAATCAGGTACATGATAAGCACCGTTTCCTTAGGATGCTTAGGCTTAAAGTGGTTGTACACCTCAGACATGAAATATGTACAAAGCAAATCCTTCTATACTGTGTACCTGTCTCTCTATCCAAAGCACTCAGTGTGATTCCTCTCTGCCCCCTCCTTCCTCTGCTATCAGCAGGAGTCACTTCTGGCAAGTTTTCTGACACCAAGAGATAAAAAGTTGATGGGAAGGAGAGCTCCAACACACAGCTTGTGATTCACAGCCACAGCTCTGCATTATTCCTGGGTAGCGTGAGGAGGGGGATTTATCTCTTCTCTCCAATCAGAGTTCCGAGCTCCCCTCACTGTGCTCTGCACTGTGAGACTTTAGATCCACACCCCAGCTGCTAGAGCTGAAAAAAATTCTTTGATCTGGCAATTTTTGGAACAACTACAGAAGAAAAATGGCTGCAAATAAACAAGTATATGTAGGAGTGTCAATAATCGACATCCTACTTCAAAGGAGCTGACCCTTGATGAGGGTATAGGGTATGCAGACCTTTTTCTGGTCCTAGGCTGATGACCGTAGCTTTCCTTTGTGGAGGGGAGAAGTGATCCAGTGCTGTACACAGTCGCATCTTTTCCTCTCTTCCTCTTCACACAGAGAATCAGGGAGTGAGCTAAGTCCTGCTGTGTGTGTCTAAGGAGCGCGGATCCATAGACACACACAGTTCAGGGGCAAACATGTGCCCTATAGCAGCTTGTTATGGGGACACACCAAGAAGAAAAAGGAGCCAAGATTGGTGAAGGGGACCCCAGAAGAGGAGGTTTGGGGCCACTCTGTGCAATACCATTGATCAGAACAGGTGACTATAAACACAATGCTGAGGCAAGATCATGCAGCTCCCAGGGCAAAGATGTAAAACTGCACCCCCCATTATATGCGGGCTTAGGGGATCCTACTTCCAGCATTTCTGTATAAAATACAGAAAGAAGTGCAGGTGGGAGGTTAGTAAACAAGCACTGATATAAGCCAGCAGCTGTGTGTACAGACAATGACAGGAGGGATGAGCTGGAGGGAGAGAGAAGTCCGTCCTGAATCCTCCCGGCTCTCCCCTACACTCAAGCATTATACTTCAGCATTTGGCTGTGGCAGCTGTGCTCTCTCCCCCTCCTCCCTCCTTCCAGCTCCTCTATTCCTGTGATTACTACTGCTGGCTTCTGAATACAGGAGTTGCAATGGAAGGAAGGGGGGGGGAGAAAACAAAGCCTCCTGGCTCTCTACTTCTCTCCTGGCTGCTCCCAGCACTTGGCTGACAGAAGTAATGATGCCGCTGTCACTAATCCTGTCAGTCATATAGTTAGAATGACAGTGCCCCCATCCCTGCAGTATACAACTGTGCCCAGGGCAGCTGCCCCTCCTGCCCACCTTTGTCCCGGTCCTGATATAACATGTTTATTATTTTAATAAAAATAAAGAAATAAAGAAATGTTCACCTTCACAGTGGATCTGCTCACTGTGTTTTGCTATTTTTTTAAATTGTGTATGTGCCTTGAGCTGCAAAATTATTAAAACGTATACAGCGTGTTATTGTACCTTGTGGTAAGAGAGGTTACTGTATGCACTGTGGTCTTCACAAGCCCTTGAAGTTAACATTTCCTTCATTCTGGACAACTAAACCAAAAAGTTCCACCTGAGTGCAGTCACTAAACGGTGCTTTTCATCACCTCTACTGTCCAGAACAGCTCTGTGCCACAAGATAACTTTCATTATGGGGCCAACTGAGCCAACTCGCTTGAACCACTAAAGCCGGCCATACATGGGTCGAATTCTGAAAGAAATTTCTTTCGAAAATCTTTTCTAAGAATTTTCTTCGAATTTTGCACCATTAGTGGGTCACAGAAATGACCAATTTTCGTGTGACCATCGAATTTGAGTTATCGGGTAAGTTGGATGTTTTTGAAAATTGAACGAATTTCAAATCAATGATGGGAGAATCGTGCAAGAAATATAAAGCTGTGACCTGGAAAGAAAAGAAAATTATTTTCATGAGGAGAAATGGAAGGCTTAGTTGGTTGAATTTCGAAATCAACAGTGGCACCATAGGATTACAAAATGTACGAAATTTCCAATTTTCTAAAGAAAACTTTGTTCAGAATTCGACCCATGTGTGGTCTGCATTAGTCCTGCCCAAGGTAGCCACACTCTTCTCCACACCCAATATGAGTGCCTTGTTACATCTGATTATTTGAACACTGTTAGCGGGGATGATCAGATTTCAAACCGGTCACTCCACCTTTTCAGCAAAGATCATTTGAATGAGACCTAAAGCAGCATTAAACCAAAAAATGTACTCTACTGCAGCTTACCAATCCTTAGATGTGGTGGTTGCATTAGTTTTCTTTTATTTAGGTTTTTCCCCTCGGTTTTCATCTGGTGATGAGGACAGTACACACCACTCTGGATGAAGGAGCACAGGAGGCACCTTTGGACAGTAGAATTTTCAGTCTGGGAGGAGGGGAGTGTTAAATGTACTAGCAGATTTAACTACACTAACAACTTCAATCCAAACTCCAGCTAATACTTTATAAGCAGTTACAGCAAAAGGTTTTACATTAAATCTGGTCATTGTAAGCACCCGTTAGTGATAAATGATTTGTCTCGTCTCTGTTGCTGATACATTCTGTAGGATAGCTTGATCTTTTGAAGAATAACAGACTTATTGGCAGGATTGCCATATAAAAATTGAAGAAAGAAAGCCCAAAAAAGAAAACTAATGCAGCCATCATGTCTAAGAATTTGGAAACTGCAATAAAATGTTTGCTTTTGGGTTTAATATCATTTTAAGCCTTTACATATGTGACAGGCACCAAGGAGCCTTGATCAGCATTTCCACCAAGAAAGGCAAGTATGTATTCACTTCTACAGTTGCAAGAAAAAGTATGTGAACCCCTTGGGATTACGTGGAGTTTTGCATGAATTGGGCATAAAATGTGCTCTGAACGTCATCTAAGTCACAACAATAGAAGAACACAGTCTGCTGAACATAATACTACACAAACATTAGATGTTGCCATGGTTTAATTGCACATAACATGTAAACATTCACAGTGCAAGGAGGAAAAAGTATGGGAACCTTTGGACTTAATTACTGGTTGACCCTCCTTTGGCAGCAATAACCTCAACCAAACGTTTCCTGTAGTTGCAGATCAGACCTGCACAACGATCTGGAGTAATTTTGGACCACTCCTCTTCACAAAACTGTTTCAGTGTAGTAATATGGGCAGGACAGCTGTCAGCAACACATCCAATATCATCACACTGATTGGAGTCAAGGTTGGCTCACTCCTGGCTCCAATTAGCTCTGGGAGAAGTCATTAAGCTAGGGCCTCACCTACTTTTTCCTCCCTGCACTGTGAATGTTTACATGTTATGTGCAATTAAACCATGGCAACATCTAATGTTTGTGTAGTATTATGTTCAGCAGACTGTGTTCTTCTATTGTTGTGACTTAGATGACGTTCAGAGCACATTTTATGCCCAATTAATGCAAAACGCCACGTAATCCCAAGGGGTTCACATACTTTTTCTTGCAACTGTATTACTCCATCCATATAATTCAGCCACCTTTTAATACAGCATCATGTTAAAAAGACATGTTCCCCTTTAAAAACAGTAAATTAAACAATCCCCCAGCCCCCATCCCTAGCTACCTCAATACACTAACCTGGCTTACACAACAAACTTGTATTGACAGAAACACAGAATTTCTATTGCCAACCTTCATCTGAAAATGCTAGACCACTAGCTGTTTTGTTGTTTCAGTAGATATTAAAAGTGTAACCAGAAGGCAAGCCTTTGGAGAGGAATTAGAACACCTGTACGTTTTCATTGCTGTATGTGCTGTTAGGGAGATTCACACACTATCTGGCCAATTTACCATTATCATCGAAAGTGAAAGTAAAAGAAAATCCCCAATTTTGGGTTAACATCAGAACAATAGACGGGAAATCTTCCAATGGGGACACTAGTTCTGGTGACAAACTGGGATTCCCCCAATTTGGAGGGATTTCCTCTCACTTCCTGTTTTGACTACGGGACAGGAAATGAAGGTAAATCTCCCCAATGGGACACAGATGGCAAAATAAAAAAAAATTGACAGGGGTTATAATCCTCACTTACGCTATCTAAAATGAGAAGTTTTGACTAAAGTTGTACTTTTATAATAGCACTTTAATAATACACTGACCAAGAACATTAATGCAGATCAGTAGAGTTTACTGATATGTGCACTTGAAAGCAAAAAGGTCAGCGAAGACAAAGACTGAGGTTGAAAGGAAGAATGACTTATATGCGTTATTAAACAAAATTGCTGCCTTAGTTTTCTTTTTTTTAGGCTTTTTCCCCGTTTTCATCTAGTGATCTGTTCAGTAACACACCTCCTGTATTAGAGTTCCTTCACTCTGGATGAAGGATCAATATAAACACCTTTGGACAGAATCATTGTCAGTCTAGGTGGAGGGGAGTGCTATGTGTACTAGCAGATTTAGATACGTGTTTTCTGCAGCATTTCCATTGAAGTCTATTGAACCAAAAATACGCAGCAGCTCAAAAAATCATAGATGTGAACATGTCCCATAGGAAACCATGCTAAATGGAATGTAGTGCATTTCTGCAAAAAGCCCTTAACCACTTGCCTATTGGGCACTTTTACCCCCTTCCTACCCAGGCCAATTTTCAGCTTTCAGCGCTGTGGAACTTTGAATGACAATTGCACGGTCACGCAACACTGCACCCAAACAAAGTTTTTATAACTTTTTTGAGACAGATAGAGCTTTCTTTTGGTGGTATTTAATCACCACTATGTTTTTATTTTTTGCTAAACAAACTAAAAAATACTGAAAATTAAAAAAAAAAAAAAAAAGTTTTAAGTTTGTTATAAAATTTTATAAATAAGTAATTTTTCTCCTTCACTGATGTACAATAATGAGGCTGCAGTGATGGGAACTGAGAGGCTGCACTGATGGGCACTGATGAGGAGGCACTAGTAGGTGGCCCTGATGGGAATTGACAGGCATCACTGATGGGCACTGAAAGGCAGCACTGATTGGAACTGTTAGGCGGCACTGACAGGCACTGTTATGTGGCACTGACGAGCAATGATATGTGGCATTGATGGGTACTGACAGGTAGCATTGATGGGCACCGATAGGTGGCACTGATCATCAGTGCCCTGATGATCAGTGTACATGTCCCCTCTGAGGAATGCAGCTTACCGGCTCTCCTCTCCTCAAGCACTGTCAGCATGAGGAGAGGACTGCCGATAACCAGCATTTCCTTGTTTACATGCGATCAGCTGTAATTGGACACAGCTGATCACATGATAGAGCCGACGTCATCGGCTCTTTGCTCTGATCAGTGATCCGCCCTGTCCCAGGGACACAGCGCACCACTGACCGCAGCGCATGCGCAGTTAGAGTGGGAGGACGTTATATGACATCCTCCCAGAACGAAAAAAACGCCACCAGACCATAATTTCCTTATATGGAAGCAGGAAGCGGTTAAGAAAACCGCATCAGTTTGAACCAGGCCTCAATGGGGAGGTGAGTTTTTTTTTTTTAACTCACCAAATATGCACCAACAATGCAGCAAGCAAGATTTTTAACACCGCAATGTACCAGTGTGAAGACATACACTGAATATAAAGGGATGCATTTTTCTTGTGCCTTTTGTTTGTTTTTTGTTTTTTAAATGTAAAAACGCTGCAAAAACTGCTCAGAGTGAAAGCAGTCTACTGGGCCGGCAAAAGGTGCTGAAAATAAATTCATATTTATTTAAATTCATGATATTAAACAGTCAAATATAATATAATTTTACATATATATATATTTTTTTTTTTTTTTTTTTTTTTTTTTTTTTAACTGTCGATTTCGGTTTTTGGCCAAATGTATCCTGAAGTTTCGGTTTCTGTCAAAGAATTTTCATTTCGGTGCACCACTACTAAATAACATATAACGTTACCCATTGAACATTGAGTCACAATTCATAACATTACAGTTTCTGCTGAGCCATGCCTTTCTATTTATCAAAACATATAAACATAATGGTACTTTCATATCTGATCCACCAGCTGCTTCAAAAGCATTCCTCCTTTCTAAGAATATGCAGACTACACAGAGCTGTTTCCAAAATGCAATTGTTGCCAAAAGTCGGCAGCTTAGTCCTCATCTCCATCCCTAGGCACAAAAAATAAACAAAATGAATCAAAGTATTACTAAAACCAGGACCCTGCATTCACTATATGTGGTCTCCCACAGCACACAGAACATGGAAGTGCAATTATTTTAGTAAATATAAACTGCTAAATACCTTTTCTCATCAGCAGTTAGAGCAGTCTTGTGACTTCTATCAGTGTACAGCCGAGCACATGTTAAAACTTGGAGGAGTTTTCATTCTGCCCTGTGAGGATGCAGGACCACTGACCCTCTGTCTGGACAGTGCTGATTGGCCCTGTGCTGATCACATGCGCTCTCCCAAGAAAAAAAACCCCAAAAACCTCTAGTGTCTCCACACGATATGTCTTATCAGGAGATAAGAGGGGGGCATTGGAAGAAGGGGAGGGTCAGAGAGGTCAGGATCTAACTGTTTTTTTTACACAATGCAGAGGATTAACCCCTTTACAAGCATGCTCTACTGCACATACAGACTGATTTTACTGTTGTGGGTTTAGTAACAGTTTAAGTGAACAATATACATAAAAAAATATTGCGTGATAGTAGAAAGTCCTTCTGCTGTGACCATCTGTGCTAATACCAAGTGAAAAAATTATCACCCAATGGCCCCAAGGGCAGAAGAAAGAAGGGAACCATTACCATATAGAACACCAGCTAAGAGAGGAAGGCCCTGAGGTGACAACTATCAATAAAGGAAGCCTTTAGGCAAACAAAATTGGAATAATATTGGAGTGGAAGGAAGAATTACTATCAACGTTGTCCATACCAATACCATACCAAGGGTATGAAAGGAGAGGTCCGCTACCACTTAGAAATCAATATGAACCTCTAAGGGAAGATTACTATTCTAAAAGAACTCCAAGACCTAAAAAAAAAAAATAATAAAAGAAGGAGAAGGAGGAAGGGGATACAGATCCCCCAGGAACCCTGAGAGAGAAATAAGCAGGAACACAGAAGAAACAACTAGAGGAAGTCCACATCGAGGAGGAGATGATGGCAAGCCAGTACAAGAAACAAAAGAAAAAATATCAGTAGGTGAAGGTATTTTAATCCAAGTGGAATTGATTTGACCAGGGAAGAGATTCAAGCATTGGACAAAGGACTGACGTTTCCCCCAGGAAAAATCTTAATTTTCAAAACTTATGTAGACATACATACATATACTAGAAATTTAAATAACAAGAGATATATGCTAATGAAGCCTGGGGAAAATATGATGAAAAGATCATCAGGAGATCATAACATAATACATAGCACTCTAAGAAACAAGTCTTTACTCAATCCAAATATTAATGATAATGGCCATATTGAAGCCTTTAAGAGAATGGTCACCCAAGATCTCAAGTTGCAAGTCAAAAGAGCATGTGACCCCATGGATATACAAAGAGGTATAAAGAAATTGGAATCCAAGAGGGATATTGTAAGTACACCTGCTGATAAGGGAGGAGCAGTAGTGGTACTCTCCAAAGGAAGCATATAATAGAGAAATGATGAGACAAATACAAGATGTAGATACTTATCTAAAGTTATTAAGTAATCCAACAATACAATATAAAAAAGATCTTACGAAAGTAGTAGCAAAAAGGACAAGATAAGGGCATTTTGGATGAAGGAGAAGCCAAGTACCTAACACCGGAAACATGCAGGGTACCAATTATTTACATGGTTCCCAAAATACACAAACATAGAACTAACTTACCCCCGGGGGAGACCAATTGTGAAAAGCATTGAATCAGTTAGTGCAAGGATTGGCCAATACATAGACATGTTTACATGTTTTTTTACAACTGGCGGTGCAGAAAACTGAGTCATATTTACGAGACTCAAAACATCTCATAAAATGCTACAACAAATAAACATAGGAACAGAAAAGGAGGTATTAGCCAAGGCGGATGTAGCCTCACTATATACTATCATTGGCCACTATGAAGCCCTAGAATCAACTAAATGGGCACTGAGCACAGTGAACTAAAATGTGCTCAAAGAAGTTTCCTCCTAAAAATGCTTAGACTACGCTCTACAACACAATTATTTTTTGTTCAACCATAAGTATTACAAGCAAATACAGGGAACTGCAATGGGTGCAAAATTTGCGCCAAGTGTTGCAAATTTGTTTATGGCCCAGTGGAAGCAACAAACAATCTACCAGAATAGACCATATCAGCTACTATTATACAAGAGGTACCTACCCATATGGAAGAAAAATATATTTGAAATATATTTAAAAAATATTCTTCCCAAATATACTGACATACATTTGAAATGCTACAATTTTGGCCATATTCAATATATCAAAAACACACACACACACACACACACACACACACACACACACACACACACACTGCATGTTGAACTGCATTTTTATTACAAAATATACTTTATGAAATACATTTCAAATATACTGTATGTCTTTAAAAATATCAAATCTACATTTTTGGAATGCATTTACAAATATGTAAAAATATATGTTAAAATTACTTTTTTATATGTTAAAAAAATCTTAAGAATATATTTAAAAAATATATATTTTTAAAAATATATATTTTTTTATATATTCTTCAGATTTTTTTGAACATATAAAAAAAGCGATTTTAACATACATTTTTACATATATTTGTAAATGGATTCCAAAAATGTGGATTTGTAGTTTTAAAGACATACAGTATATTTGAAATGTATTTTTAATAATATTCTTTATATATTTTGGAATAAAAAAAATGCAGTTCAACATGCAATATATATATATATATATATAAAAACTATATTTTGAAATATATTGAATATGACCAAAATTATAGAATTTCAAATATATGTCAATACATTTGGGAAGAATATTTCAAATATATTTTTCTTCCATGTGGGTAGATATATCATAATGGTATGGAAAGGAGAAGGAGACAAGAAGTATCTAGAAAACCTCAACAATAATGATAGAGATATATGCCTCTCGTGGCAATGTGATGACAAGCAAACAGACTTCCTGGATCTAGTAATATGGAGAGAAGACAACATACTAGAAACCAAAAACCCATCTTAAAGCAGTGGGTGGCCAAAAACGGCTACATACCAGTTGATAGTTGTCACCATGCCCACTAGCCCATTAATATTCCAAGGGGTTAACTAACAAGACTACAGAGAAATTGCACTGAGGAAAAAGATTACAATAAACAAGCAGGGCTCATCGGGAACAGGTTTGCTGATAAAGAATATGATAAAGAATTTATACAGCAAATGATTAAGGAAGTAGCAGGAAAACAAAGAGAAACACTAGAAGTGGACAGAAGCAGACATGATGATGATTTATCCAATATGCCCATCGTACTGGATTATAAAATCCAGTATAAGAAAATTGAGAACATTTTTAAAAAACATTGGGGTATCTTGAAATCAGACAAGCATCTAAATCCAATCTTACCAGAAAGGCCCAAATTCCCCTATCGTAGGGCACCAACATTATGGGATAGAGTTGTGAACAATGTACTGGATCCACCGGAGAGGAAAAAAATCATCTTTTGAAGGGAAAGGATTTTTCCCTTGTAAAAAATGTTTTGCATGTAAGAAAACAGGAGGGAATGTCAAGAGAAAATAATATTTATCAACCGTTAACAGGTAAACAGTTTCACCTCATGTAGAACAGAGTGGGCGATATATGTTCTCCAATGTCCTTAGTTAAAACAATATGTGGGTAAAACATAAAGGCCATTGTGAAAGAGAATCAAAGAACATATTACAAACATCATTAATGGTTATACCCAGCATAGTGTTGTTTCCAAGCACTTTACTCATGTTGATAATAAAGACCCGACCTGTTTAACATTCTGAATAGAGAGTTATAAAAGACGCTGGAGGGGTAGTAATAAAGTGTAAGTACTAAGTCAGAGTGTATTAAAATGGATTTTTGAACTCTGTACTATGGCCCCCTCAGATAAGTATTTACCTGGCACTTCCTATTGGTATATGGCGGTATGTCAACCCTACTAATTTAATGCCCATTTAACCTACTCATCCATTTATACATATTAAGTATTCAGCTGTATTATATTTTAAATAATTTTAATTCTAATCTTAAATTTTATTTGTTGTACTTTATCGCATACATTATCCTATATTTAATATCGAAATGTAGTAAGATGAGCTGTAAGCCATAATCATCACAATTATGACAAGTCACAGCATGAACTATCTTGCTTTGCATGTAATGAGTCTATCTCATATATAAGTTACATTACTGAAATAAATGAAATTTTGCACAATATTCTAATTT